TTTTTCAAAAAGTCCAAAAGTGTGATCTGTTAGTTCTGTTTACAACAGTTAAGAATGGAAATTAACTGGCTACTAGCTCCCAACGGAGCGGAGCACTCTGATCATGATTGATCTTTCAATCATGAGTCTGCAACAGACCCAAACCGAACAGAAGATATTCCGCCTTCCATATGAAACCCAGAATATCGCTCGTTGAGGAGCTTCTAATGTCAGAAGGAAAGAGTAGTTCTCAACCCAGTGACCTCCTCCTAGCTCAGATCAAAGCTGGGCAGTCACAGAGAATGTGACTGGAAGTCTCGTCTGCTTCTAAGCAGATTCGACAATCTATCTCTTCTGACAGACCCATTTTGTTAAGGTGATAACGTAATCCATGGTGACCCGTTAAATATCCCACCAGCAACCTCAACTCTGTTGTGCTGAAGAAAGATACCTTACTTTAACTGTAGGGATGAACCAGCTCTTTAGCCTGACAGTGAGTTAGCTATCAAAATCATGCTTTCTGTCAACATTGGACTTTTTTGTCGGTTTAAACAAAGAAGTATATTTATAAGAACAATCATGAAACTCTTGATGCTTAGATATATTTTGACTTACATACGTCAACACGTGTTTACTATATGACAAGATATTGAAAATTTCTTGAAAAGCATCCAATAATGTATTGTGTCCCATTAAATTTAAGATCTAATGATAAGATTCAAACTATGCATTAAAATAAAAGCTTAGTCAAACTCTTAATCATAAGTGAAGAACCTAATATTACTATTTATTTTTTGTTTCGCGGATTGATTGTTAAACAAGGATTAAGCTGAATTAAATATAAAATTTTTAATAATGAAAAAAAAATATCTCCATTCAAATATTGAACTGCAATTAGGTAAATAATAAAATTTTTTAACGAAAATGAGTGTCTAAATAAGCACAAATGATAGTAGAGTTGGAATATAGGTTGAAAAAAGATACAAAAATATTCCAAATAAACTCTCGTGTCTGTTAAAAATATATAAATTGTGAATAATTTTTTAGTTTAAAAAACTGTAAATCAGAAAAGAATTGATTTGAAATTTCTAATAGTAAAATCACACTGTAATAATTCCCGCAGAAATTAATTTGAAGTACAAAGCAAAAAAAGCAACACGCTCCACTTAATTCCAGTGTTATCGTTACAAGAGCTAAAAACTATTCCGATTAGCTTTGGAATAAAAAAAACAAGTAAAGGAAATACTCGTATTTTTGTAGCAACCACTCAAATATTGCAGATGATGTGATAATAAACATCCAGCAAATGTTGCCGCAATTATGAAATCGTATTTGCGCCAAGTCAAAATAAGAACCGCAAACCCAAATATGCGAACATTGCATGCACCAGCATTACACAGCCAAATGCAATATTGTATCTATTTTAATCTCGCACAATTATTTCCAAAGTACGTGCATCCTTACCGAAAGCGCACAGCAAAGATCCACAAACTGCATTCCACTGCACTGACGAAATTTGTGGGCATTTGCTCTATGAAATGTGTGACGTGCATCATTATTAATTTGACAAAACTGCAATGTGGCTGCGCCCTGACCCATCTTGACTGCAGCAGCAGAGTTTGTGCTTTTGCGTTATTTGACAGTTGTGGTCAAAACAGCTTGACACATGTTTACCGAGTTTATTGCAATTTTCATGGGATATTCAAAGGCTACTTATCGAACTGCAGCGGTCAATTTAGTTAGGTAATTTAACTGGAGAGAAGTAATAGAAAGAATATAAATGGTTCTGATTTTTCAAATTTAATATCGTTATAACATATATCACATATATATGCTATTATAGTAAATATTATAGTTTCGAATTGTATTAATAATATTCTCACTCTTATATTTATACAGTCTCTGTCAAAAAATTTGAAACTTTTATCAACTTAATTAATAAGTCATCATCATCATTATTAGTGGCGCAACGATCCTAGTTTGAGGCCAATATTCCTCCACTTATCTCTGTCGTTTGCAATCATTCTCCAGTTTCTTTTCCAAGCTGTTGTGTTGTTTAGTCCACATTGTCTATCCAGCGTAAACTCGGACATCCTCTTTTCCATCTTCTTTCTGGTGCATATTGCTATATTTTTTTTGTTGGGTTATCTGCCAGCCATTTGTAATTGCTTTAGTTTTACTCTCTTACTTATTGCTGGTTGTCCTAGCTCTTTTTGAAATTCGTCATTAAATCTAAGCCGATAGGTGTCGCCTTCTTCTCTTATTGGACGAAGTATGCGACGTATAATCTTGCGTTCGAAGATATCTAGCTTATTTTCATCTATTGGTCATCATAGCGACATATTTTTTTGTTTTTTTTTTTTTGTTTGGCAATTTGTTATTAATTAATTTGTTATTGAAGATATATTACAATAAATCACAATATTATTACAAAGTTATTCTAAATGGAAGTTTAGCTGATATTTCTTTCCACTCCACAATAGAGAGCGAAGAGATGTTAACTTCGTCTGTTTTTAAAAAATCATTATTATCACTCGGGAAACTGGGTGTTAATTAGAAGAATTTGTAGCACATATATCTGCCATGATAGCAGACTCTGTTCCATTTTGATGAATTCTATTCTACCCTCGTCAATGTGAACTTACATTTTTTATTGCATTTTCATTAATTTATATATTACAATATAAAACCCAGTAATCATTGAATATATCAATTCAACTCAAAATTTTTTAACTATTTTTTTTGAAATATGGAATATTTTTTCAGCAATTTAATATGCAAACACTTGTTTTAATTAAAGTTTTCATATTTTGTCTACAGCAAGTCCTATCAATTAATAATCCGAAATTCTTTTTCAAACAGAATCCTTGCCAAATACATTGCGTCACCACGGCAAAGGTAGTAAAGCACACATCCTGCATTTCAACCGATGTAAATATGACAACTTCTTATATTATAAAAGCTATAGAATAATTGTAAAACTATGTTAGAAAATCCTAAAACATTTCAGTACAAGCTGCCTCCATGTAGAGTTTTTGCCTACGATATAAAAACATTTAGTCAAGTCAATATCATGGGACAATTAATAATTGGACACAATGGACTACGTGATCGCATCGCAGAACACATGCACATTTCACATATGACAGAAATGTTTTGGAGCGAAGAACTTGAAGCAATGGCCAAACGGTACGCATACAAATGCAATCCTTTTCAAGATGACTATTGTGCATCTATTGACTCGGTTTTTACAGAAAGTAAAAAAAATGAGTCAATTCAATTTTCGAATAAAGAAGTTTCGTTTAGTGATCAATTAAGGAACAGATCACCTTATGCGTTAATACGACAGACTCGTTTCTGTCATAAGTCTGTGTTTTTTCCAAATAATTTCATTCATATTGCGTTAAGTACTTGGTATAATGAAAGATATACTCTACAACCACCGGAACGTATGAATACTTCTACAGGTTTAAATAAGCAGAGATTAAGGGGCGATAATAATTTCACCATAATTGCGGATCCAAATGTTGACAAACTTGGCTGTAGCATAGCAAAGTAAGTCTTTACAAGCTATATTTAATATGGTATATGATACGTGTATATATGAATTATTATCTGTTATTGGTTTATTTTTAGTGTTGCTAAGAAATATTTTTGTATATTTTGCAATTATTTTAAAGTCAAGCGCGTACAGCCGGAGATGCACTTCTACTTAGGACACCCGGCAACGGACTGTCCAAGTTGGGCACCACTCCGAGACAATTATTACAAAAATCTATGTACGATTGATCCAAGACTTAACAAAACTGGAAAAGGAGTTATGGATGAAACGTTATTATTAAATTATTTTTGTATTTTATACATTTTAGCACTGTATTGTTTCTAAACTAGCGATATTATGTCATCAGCACTTGTTTTTTTTTGTGTTTCTTTTTAATAAAAGAAGTTCATTTGCGACAACTGTTTTTAATCCTTGTATCGACTTTAATTCTTATCAATTTAACCACCCGAAAGTACTAAGTGTGCTGCTCATTATGCACGCATCAAGTGTCTTCCATGCAACACACTTCATTTAACATTAAATAGACTTTAATTTGGCCGAAATAGCTGCAGCGAAAGTATCTGCTATACAATTTGTGTCAATGGGAGAGCACACTTTTTCCACTCGGAAACAAAGTAGATACTTTTCGATTCACGACCAATTGAATGAAGACAATTTATGATGACACACTTTACTGCGTTAATGGCGCTCATCCTAAGCTAATGTGTTGTTGCTGTTGGAATTAAGCATTCGACAATAAAAATTGATTTGACATTTAAGCAAAATGAAATTTAATTAAGATAAGTGAGATCTTGAGTAATAATTGATACATATATATTATCGTATATATAATATATATATTAACTTAAAAATTATATATTTGAAGCGCAACTCAAAATGTCACTTTACGAGAAATACGAGAATTTTCTTTAAACAAAAGCAAACTTACATTTCAGACTGATGGGGCGACAAATTTTGAAAGGAAACTTTTTTATATAATAGCTTAAAAAACTTTTAAAACCTCAAAGTTCCAGAGAAATTTCCATTTTCCGGTTGGCAATAAACACAAACATTGTTGAAGGCCTGTGAAAATGTTCGCACCAAGGAAGAGCAGCTACACTCGTAAATGTCTCAAGAGCGTAATTGATTTCAATTTTATGTATGCCGCAATATGCGTTATTGTTAAAAGTGTTATAATTTACCTCCTGCACACCTCCCCTATCATGCACATATACCCCTATCCGCTTGGCTTCGTTTGAGGTACGCACAATGGATCCGCAGTAGCCAGCACCAGCGCCACACCAGAACCAGCGCCAGCACACAAGCGAACCGAAAGGAAATGTTAATTGCTCCATTGTCATGTAAAATGGCTAAAGTTTAACTACAAAAAGGGTTCTCGATATTATTTTTCATTATTTATTTGTTTGTTTGTTCACTTGTCGTTGCTGTTTTTTATTTCCAGACTCAATTTTCTTTAAATGGCATATGGCAGAATAAAAACATTAAAAATTATTCCACTTGTATTGTGTTGTGTTGTGCTGTGTTGTGTCTTTTGTTTTCCTTTCATTCTCCACTTGTTAAGGATTTTGAGTATGTTTTTAATGTCTCTACTGTCTAGTGGCACCTATAGTTTGAGTGCTTCGGATTCTTTGTAGTTAAAAGAACAACAAACCTTGCCACCTGTTTTTAATACTTTATAGAGAAATTAAGTTTTTTATATTGTTTTTAAAGCAATATACAATCTTACTTTACTGATGCTAATTATTTTTTAATATATTTTATTATTCTATTAATACCAGTAGATCCTGTAATTACTACTTTTTCATTAATTGACCTTAAAAGGCGTATGTAAACCTTATAAATATACATACGATTGCTGCACATATCCCCATATGACGGCATCGCAATTAGAGCTATCTGTACAGCAGAAAACTAGCTAAAGTAAATTTGAATAAAAGTGACGACAACAACGGAGGCGGAGTTATTAACAAACCGTAAATTAATTGAGAATATAAAAATGATTGTGACATTGTGACAAGCACACATAATCTAAATCAACGTTTTTATAAAATTTTGGTTTCTAATATTGGACCTTCATATACGTCTATTAGTCGAGTATCTTATTTATAACCCTAATATGATGTCAAACACAGAAACACGTAACATATAGGCAAAGAATTGAAGACTTATGCAATCTATGCACGCAAAGAGCAATAAAGTCCTTTCAGACAGTATCTAAAGAAGCGGTCTATCCTGTATCCAAACTATTACCCATAGACTTAATGGCAAACGAGTCTTTGGCTAACTGCGACTAAAAATCTTATATAAAGTCAGAATTAAAAGCACGGAAATTACAATACTAACAATAGATAGACAAAAAGTATCATACCAGATCTCAAAAGTGAGTATGAAGGACCACGTAGACTTTAACTAAAGCTGCTGTTTACAGGACATGGCTGCTTTAAGTCATGCCTAAACAGATTTGGACATGAGCACAATTCCTACAGTAGTTAATACTGCAACAACATTGGTTAAAGAAGTATATCACATAATCTTTGCATGTAGAAGATACAATGCAGTAGGTTGTAGTACAAGACCACCATTGACCACTATATAGAACATATGATAATTTCGAAGTACAAATGTTAAAGAAGTATATCACATAATCTTTGCATGTAGAAGATACAATGCAGTAGGTTGTAGTACAAGACCACCATTGACCACTATATAGAACATATGATAACTTCGAAGTGATATCGAATATGATCACTATTGTAATAATGAAACAAAGACAGTTTAAAGCCACACTCTTCACTTCAAATTACTATAAGGGACCATTAAAAATTATGTTATATATAAACTTAAAAAATATTTTTTAAAATATACTATTCAAAAGAGAGAAAAAAAATAATTTAAAATTGTTCTAGTATTGAATTTAAATAATTGTGACTTTATTAACTAAAATGAAATAACTTGCTTCATGCAAAAAATGTTCAAAATAATAAAAATTATTGAAAAATTTTATATTTTTTATATGAAAAATGTGCATAGGAAAAATTACTTAATTGCCGAGGTCCTTTAATGGACAATGATTTTATTATCGAAAAGTACATTTACCATTTTTTTTTTGCGGGCTTTATTGACTTGGCCCAATGCTAACATGTCAGTAATAAACCATAACGACTTCAACTAAATTAAATTGTGCACATAAAAACTTTTTACACACCAGCAAGAAATGTGTTTTGGTGAAGAAAAAAGCTTGATTTAATCGGAACAAAAAAGTAACCATATGGGCACTTTAGCATTAAACGCATTAAGCCATATTTCATATTTCGTCCTAATACATTTTATGAAGGCAATTGGCACAGTTTGTGGCACTTCAAACATTAAAAAAACAAAAAAAAAGTGGACTGGTAGTACATAAAATAGTACGGAAAAGCGGCGCACACTGGAATCAGTGAATAAAAAGAAATCCCCCCACAATAAAAAGATTATATAGAAATCGAGGGTAAGGAAAATGTGCAACATCACACCATTTAACATGTTTTTTGACGGTAATAACAACAATAGGCCTAAAGAAGCGTTCCAACACACTTGCTCAACTCAAATCAACTCAAAAAAAAAAAATAAAAATGTGTATATAGAAAAATAAAATGGAGAAAACGTTAATGTTAAATAAGAAACAAGAAGCGGAAATTGTTAAAAAAAATAAAAAAAAAATATCCAAAGGAAGTTTAACAGAAAAAAACAACGGAGACATAAAAGATGACGATTATGTGTTATGGCTACTTT